GCACATTCAGGGCTTTCCAGAGATACCAAATGATTGGATGTTTCAGCATGGCCACTCCCTCTCCTTGGTTTTTAAAAATGGCTAACATTAATTTAGTGATCACAGCTATGAAAAAAGAACCATACCATCCATCCTCCTGAGACCCAGCTATGGAGTTTTTGCCTCTGTGGTGGGCATTTTATTTGAGTGAATTTCTCTGAGACCTCACATGTCACAGTTGTAAGTCTGGAGTCCTGTACGGAGCACATGCAGGGCTCTCCAGAGACACTACATGATTGGATGTTTCAGCATGGCCACTCCCTCTCCTTGGTTTTTAAAAATGGCTAACATTAATTTAGTGATAAAATTGTACATCCTTATAGAAATATGATAATATTTTGTAATTATAATTTAAATCTGATACATTTTCAAATTGTTTGTCACAAATCAACATCTCAGGAAAATGTTATGGGGCTTCAAATCAAAATATGACTTCCTGTTATGAAACAGGACATCATTTCATACATGTCCACTGTAGAGGACACAGGACTAAAAGCATGTTTATTATGCATTTTGGAAGACAGAAGAATTGAATAGGAAAACAAATTATATAGCAATATTCTTATGAAATATTAGATATTATTTTGAAAATCTGGCCAATTACTACTCCCATTATTACACTTCTTTTTTCAACATGCTGTCCCAACAGCACTTTAATATGCAAATTAGATACAGTGTATTGTGCTTAATGGGAAAACCAGTTTATGGAATTTTTAAACACATATTGCATAAAGCAAAATGGCATATCAAATCATTTTGTTATATATTTTATAACATAGTTGAGAACCATCCTTAAACAAAGTCTGATATACACAAAAAAATAAAATCCTGAAACATAAAAATGAATTGATTTTTTAAAATTCCCATTGTTTTTGCCTTTTCATGTCGATTCTTGTCATTTTATTTGTAGAAAAACTGAGTCCTGGTGTCCTCTACAGAGGACAAAGCATAACATATGAATCAGATATCATTTTTCAAAAATTTTATTTGACCATTTTGTTCTTATGCTCTAAACAATGTAATGACATGAAAAAAATACTAAATTCACAAAGCTTTTTATTTCTGGTTCTCAGGAGGATATGTTTGTGCTCTCATCACCCATGTTCATGATCAGCAATACATTTACAGGCAAACTGACTGAACATTTAAAGCATGCAGAATCACCTGAACATTTACAAAACAAGATCAAAAGATGGATTTGGATCGAGTATAAAATATTGACAGATACCCAGACCTGTACTTGTGTTCAAGACTACCTGGTCTGCGACACGTTCTAGACTGTATTCCGAGTGAGACCATTCCATGACATATCCATAAATGAATAAACATTCAATTTATTGCCACAGTTCATAAATTTGCTCATGTCCATAGACTGGATTTCCACATTGTGTGTCTTCAAGCATTTATAAATTAGGCTGTATTTTAAAATCTTATAGTTCATCTTTTTGAAAAGCCTTTAAACAACATAAGATTCATCTAAATGCATTCAGCTGCTTTTCTTTCTTTTCTTTTACTACAGCAGCAAACCTGATGACTACACCTGCCATGTTTGAATCCATCTTCAGCAGAAGCACACACACTACGAGCAGTGCTGCCTTACATAACGCTTGCATTTGATTTGATCTCACACATGATCGTGAGATATAGTGGGATATTCTGTGGACACGGGCACAATCGGAGGTAAGTACCTCGATATGGCTAAAGAACATGAATTTGAACATGCATAATGACGGGTTGTTGCAGTAGCATCCATAAACCCAATAATACACATACTACTACATGGACACATTCGCGAGAATCCACAGAAACGCCTTGTGTTTGTGCGAACATCAGTCGACGTCGCGTGAATACTGTCATATTATTACATATCTGTGTCTCATAGAGGCTGCAAATGACAATAATGGGTTGAATTTACGTGTTCTAAAAAACCAAAATGAATGATTGATATTGTGACCATTTTGAATTTATGACCAGGCAAACGCTGTGTAAATCGTATTTTTCTCCTCATATAAGCGTCTCTCGTAAAGTAAGAATAACACAAGATGAAGGAAATATAGTCTTCTGACCTCTAGCAGATATTGTGAGCCGTAAATGGCTGTATTTCTAGTGACCTAGTTGGAGAATAGCCTGATTTACCATTTCATCGCTTCATTAAACACACGACAGTAAATAGCACATTTTAAAGCATGATTAAAACTAAACCAGTTTAATCTATTTATTAAAAATATGAGCTCATCAGCCATCATCAGTATGTTTTCCTTTGGTGTCTGTTAGTATTATATCTATACACGGATGGAGACACACAGTAATCTTTGAGCAAACTTATTGAACCTTAACACACATAACAAAATACCAATCTTTGTTAAACACTTACCCTACTTTGCAATTTGACACTTAAGTAGCCTAACTTGTGTCAACTGTTGATTCATTAATGGATGTCCTTATACTTGAGAAAAAAATCAATCCAAGTGCGATCTGTAAATGAAATGGGAAGTTATAAATGTTATTATATTTATTTTTTAATGTAGGCCTATTATTTAATTTATTATTTTACCATAATAAATGCTCTGACAATGAAATATAAAAACGAGGTTACCCACACAAAATACTATAGGGTAAAACACGACAAATAATTCGATATGAATGAATGAATGAATAAATAAATAAAAAATGGCATGTAATACATATAACTGTTAACAAAAATTAGAAAGTAAATTTTAAATCAAGTATAAAATACATGTGATACATTGCATAAGAAATTCTGGTAATAGCCAGATAAGAAAACAAGAAGTAAATAATATTTTACAGTAAAATGAAATGCAGTGTAATAATGGTAAGCAAAAGAAAGTTTTTTTCTGTAGCATTTTACATTCTTTCCCCCAGCTGAAATAAGTAGCATTCTTTACACTGCAACATTCCCCTCAAGTTTAAAGGAGTAATTAATCACATGAACTATGCACCAGTTCCACAAAGTATGACAAACAACAAAGTCTCCAAATACTTTTGGGAGTTTTAAATATTTTATCTACTACAGTGGTTCTGAACCTTTTTTCTCCACGGCCCCCTATTGTCCAAAACATCATTCAAATGTCCCATGACTTTTTCTGTTATTTTTAGATTATTGGATAAGGATTTTACGATTGTTTAAAAAATTTAAATGTTTTTGTGTGAAAATTAAAATTTATGTTTGGCCCATTTTAAATCCTTTGAAGTCATTTTGAGGCCCCCTAGTGGGTCCCAGACCTCCGGTTGAAAACCACTGATAATGCAGTGGCATTCGTACATTTTAAGTGCGACTTAAAACACCTTAAAGTGTCAGAGTGCAGTTAGGAGCTGCTGTAATATTGTGTCAAATAAGTAGATACAAAGAAGTTCAGCAGAGCTTGTACATATATTCTGAGGGTTTATTTTCGTCTGAATCATCTCCATGCTTTTCTTCCATTCTCAGGGTGATCCAGAATGAACAGGGCTGTGGCCACCTGCTGGATATTTCTCTTGCTTTCAGCATTCCTGTGCGATCAGGTGATATCCAAAGGTGGCAGGGGAGGAGCCAGGGGTTCAGCGCGGGGCAGCACCCGAGGAGGCCGGACGTCCCGCACCCGAGGCTCTCCCGCTGTGAGGGTGGCAGGGGCAGCGGCGGCCGGGGCTGTGGTGGCGCTGGGAGCTGGAGGATGGTACGCGTCGGCCCAGCGTCGACCGGATGACAGCTCAGAGCATGGAGATGATTACTACAGTAACAGAACAGACTGGGAGCTTTACCTCGCCAGGACATCAAACGCAATAGTGCACGACTTCACTACCACTAGATTTTCTGCTTTGCTCTTACCAATAAACTTTGTGATGTACTTTGCCCCTTGAGGCAGTTTAAGACAGTTTGGCACAGCTTAATAAGCTGCTTATGTATGTTACTGTGCAACACCGATGTTTAATAATGTGTACTTTAAATGTACAACAAAGCAGATATAAAGACGAAAGAAAGATTTAAAACCTCTCTATTTAGTTTAGTAGACATATAGGATCTGAAAGGTTAGTTTGCTTCAACAGAAGCATTAGTATCTATACAACTATAGACTACTTAAATTATGCTGGTTACATCATTATTATGCTGGTACTGGATGGCAAAAATACTGTGTTAATGTTGTGCTGCTGCACTGTTGGTGAAACTCCACTGTTCTTGAGATTTACGTGAAACATTTTATATGAACCTTTGTCTGTTTAATAATCTTTATGTTCACATTTAATTGTACGTAGATTGAAGAGGTATGCTGTAACACATTTAGAATAAGAAAACAGTATTTCTAGCTGTACCTGTACTTCCATTGCTTCGGGTGTGAAAACGTCCTCTTTTTAAATTATTTATAAATAATTTGATGGATTTAAACAATTTTGTATCTCTAGTAGAGATTTTTGATAACCCACAAAAAATGTGAATGCAGTATATATTAAGTGCACGTGTTTAAAAACGCCAAGAAATTAAAGATGTTTTATATATATATATATATATATATATATATAAAACGGTACACAAGCTCTCTTTGTCAGCTGTTGTTAGATAGATATATTTAACAAATTATCATTTTAAACATCAAAGCAATTACATTAAAATTAATATATTTAGGAAAAAACAGATGATGTAGTTTCGTGAAAGTAGATAATCAACTTGTTCTAAGTAGTTTTGTGCTGCCATTTGATTGTTGGGTTGAAATATTTGGTTTTCACATACAAGATACCAATGCTGTTTAAATAAAAATCAAGAGTTTATTGTATCTTCAATTGCAGTAAAGAAAAAAAAAATACATTCAATGCATCTTTTCTGATAAGTACACAATAAAAACAAGACGTGCACCAAACACCCTGGTCACCACCTTTTAAATAAAACATTACAAGTAATAAGTGTTTTTTTTATGTGCTCAGTGTCCAGTCTTGGACATACATACAGTAAGGTCAAGCTTTTTTTTTTGCAATAATTGCAAATCAGCTATTAATCAAGCATAACTTTCCCAAGTTCTCCTTTGCGAAATGCTCTGATGAAATCATAGGCTGCTGCACTGTAGTCTGGTAACTGGACAGTGATGTTGCCTAAACAGTTGATGTGTTATTGGTTAAATATGGTCAATGATTTATTAGATATCATATTTAAAAAAGTTTAAGGTTGATTTGTGTGAAATCACTAAAATGAAAACAGAGTGGCTTGAATGAATGAACTCACCAACTCCAGTGATGGCCTTCACACGCTTGGTCTTGCCGAGCTTCACCGCTATACACTTCAACACATGCTGAATATCATCGCTAGGCTCTTCAAGATTGTACTTTTCAATGTAACTACATTACAAATTGTCACAACCGTTATTGATTATTCTACTGTACATTCAGCTTCATAAAACACACAACAAATCATTGCTTAGTGCTTGTAGACTGTCGCAAAACTCGCTAAGAACTCCATTGCAAAACCTACCTAAATCTTTCCCGTCTGTTCAGTGAAAATAGCAGATAATCTGCAATGACATCCTCACCAACTAAATGGTCCAAAATGGTACCTGTTTGTAAAGGAGACAACTTCATCACCTTACAATAAAAACAACATGACAACAACTATACATTAAGATTATTTCCCAGAAATTTGAGGACTTACCGCATAAAGCAAGTTTCATTCCTGTCTCTATGTTCTCTATTCTAGGTGGCAGGACCCCTGGGGTGTCCAGTAAATAAATTATGGGTCTCTCACAAACCTAGTAAAACAAAATTTCATCTAAACCTATGTTTGAACAAATCAATCCACTTGAATCCACCAAATGATTATAATTAATACCTGAATTTTTGTCAGGACAGCTTTTGTAATTCCTGGTTCACCTCCTACTTTTGAAGCTTTGCCTGACAGCAAGAAGAATATCTAACCTTTAGGCCTTATATTTATTTGTTTGTTAAAATCAACTTACTGCAAGAAGCAAAATGCCTCAAATAAATACCTTTTTTCAAATATGTTCTTCTTACAGCATTAATCAGTGATGATTTCCCCACATTTGGCACACCAACGACCATCAGGCAGTAACTTCTGTCCTACACAGATGAATAAGAAAGTCAGAAAACTTTATAGCAAAATATAAGCTACTGAAATAGTTGAAACTTACCTCTTCTCTATGAAAACGTGACCCACTTCCTATCAACTCTGTCACAAGAGGAACAATCTGGAACATCAGACATTGAAAGACAGAATGTTTAAAACAATAATGTGCTAGGTTTTCCAGTCTTTTATTTAGAAAGATCTGATGTAACGTCTGACACTGCTCACCCTTTTCACATTCTCATCTCGTTGTCTTAAACAGTCTGTAAATAAAACGTTCCTCACACCTTCTCTGTCAAGCTGCTTCAGAATACTCTGGTGGAAAAAAAAACTAAAACCTGTTAAATCCTGTTTTTATTAGCACATCATTTAAGTACTTTCGGTTTTTGCATTTACGAAGACAGTTTAAATTGAAAGCAATAATGAAATGCTTAAGATTATAAGACCTGCTTTTTTGACGTGTCTGCCAGATCCAGCTTGTTCAGTAGAAGTATGTGTGGCCGGACATCAAGACTCTCTTGAAATGAGGGATTTCTTCCAGAAAAGGGTATGTTGGCAAGTTAAAGAAGGTCTTAGAAAAAGAATGTGGTTTAATCACTCAAAATGTCCATTCTCTGCAATAAAAAGGATATTCTAGCATCATGGATCTCTATAATGCAATCAACCTTCCTTAGACTGTCTCTCATCTGCTTGAGTCCTAAAAAAAAGAAAAATATTTCTGTAGGACAAAATTAAGTATTAAACTTAGATTCTAAAGACACGTGGAAATAGATTTAGACACCTACAGTACATGTTTAGATTGGCCCAAATTAAATAAACAACTAAAGAACGCTGAAAGATTAAAACACACTCAAAGAACACGAAATTGTACAGATTTAGTGGTTTTTAGTGTTTGTCACGCACCTTTAGCCATATGTCCAGGGAACCAATGCGCCACCTCTCGCTCACCAAAGTCAAACACTTTCCTAAACTTGGCAGCATTGAGTAAAGAATGATAAATCCTCATCGTAGCCGCTCGGCCGGTCTGAATACAGAATGAATTTGCTCAATCAAGACCGCTACTTGCTAACAAAATCGTCTAAACAGAGACCTTACAAACTAGCAAATATCATTCTCCTACAGATGCCATACTTCTTCTGTGCTGTGACTGTACAGGAAGGAACTCAATCATCGCCACCTACAGGATCGGCAGGGGAACTAGTGACAGCTGAGCGAGCAAAACCGCATAGACAGATTATGTTATACCAGTATTGCAAGCAGGGTTTAAATTGGGCCGGGGCCGTCCGGGGCTGAGCCCTGGCACATAGACTCCAGAAAAGCAAACGTTCGAACGACTGACCGACCGATCGAACATCTTGAGCTTTTGAGCGTCTTACACTGCGGGTGACCCACGTGACGCCAGCGTCTTGAAATTAGCTGGTGTTTAAACATTTAAGGAGCCAAGCTGCTGTGTAAAGACTATAAATGGACATTACAAGCATTACAATAATTATATTTTATACCTAAAATCTCAACCATTTCCTGCATCCTGCTGTACTTCCCTGAATAAGTAGGCTATTTAAAGGTGTTGTAGGCTAATAAGTCGTTCTTAGTAATACATTGAAAAAGCTTGTGTATGTGGGGCAAAAAGTTCCCGAAATAAACCAATATGTACAGCTCCTACTGTTGGAAATGGCAAATGTAAATTATATAATTAAATTTTCATTTTACTTTTGCACCAAACTTTGCACGTATGGGTAATGGAAAATGTAAATTTAAATACTGAAATACAATGCCATTTTGCATATTAAATTGAATTTCGCTACCTATATGTGAGAGCAGCTGAGAAGATCGTTGGTGCCTCTCTCCCCTCCCTTCAGGACATCTACAACACCCGTCTCACCCGCAAAGCCCTCTGCATTGCAGGTGATCCCACCCACCCGACACACAGCTTCTTCAGTCTGCTGCCATCAGGGAGGAGACTGCGGAGTCTCCAGACCAGGACCAGCAGACTGAAGGACAGCTTCATCCATCAGGCTGTCAGGAAGCTGAACTCCCTCCCGACCTTGCCCCCCCTCCCCTCTTTTGCCCCACGCATCACTGAACTCTGACCCTCTGATGGACTCTCCCACTCCCCCCCTCCCAAATACACACACACACTGTCACTTTTATCAGTCTGAATAAGCTCTTTTGCACTACAAATCATTTTTTGCACTACAATCACTATATCTGCACTGTTGTTTACTTTACTGGTTTGCACTCTATCTGCCATATGCCTTGTGCTTTATATATATATTTTTACATTTTACCTTATTTGTATATTTGTATAGTTGTATTTTGTATTTAATCTGTATTTATGTTATCTGTATGCACCCAAGGGTCTGAGAGTAACGCAATTTCAATTCTCTGTGTGCATGTGCTGTACATGTGGAAGAATTGACAATAAAGCAGACTTGACTTGACTTGACTATATGCTTCCATAGGGGCCGTCCGGGGCTGAGCCCTGGCACATAGACTCCAGGGCTTGACATTAACGTTTCATTAACGCCAGACAAGTCAAATGACTAAAACATCAGTAACCAAAAATAACTATGTAAACACCAAAACGCAAGTACTATTCTGATTTTACTACATTTAGAGCAAGTGGCGAATAGTAGATATAGCTACTGTATATAATGCATCTATATATATATTAATTTATAGCCTAGATGTTAAGGATTACAAAGGGGGGTTACATCTGACACTCCCACATACAGATTTAATTGACTTCTTTTATAAATTGGAGTGACTGCTCTAAAATATGAAACACCAATGTTTCAGGAGTTTATAACATGCTTATACGATAACTCTTTTGTTTCCTATATGGGTTTATGCATACGCTTTATTTTTTAAGATCAACTGTTTTTTTTCCAAGGCACAGTTAGATTTCAGTGTTTCCTGTCATATGCAAAGATTTGATTTCAAAAACAGTATCATAGCTATTAAACTATTTCTGGTTATGATTTTAAATCTATATTTAACTTCAGAAAGATCTTAAAGTAAGTCTGATTTTGTGGTGGCTGTGCTTCAAAGGGGACATCAGATGCCCTTTTTCTACAAGTTGGTATGATTCTTTAGGGCCTTCTTGAAATGGTCTCAGTGGTCGTGTATAACCACCCTTTTTACCTTGTCAAAAACAGCTCTGTTCACAGCGACTAGTTTCGGTACATATCTCTTTACATGCTAATGAGCTCTGCTCACCCCGCCCCTCTTTTCTGTGGAAGTGCAAAGTTGATTCGCAAATAATCATAATATATATAAAGTGTGAGACTTACTTCTTCTGGAGGTGCAGCTGGATCACGAACAATGGGTACTGATCCATCCTTGAGTTTCAACTTTTTAACAAAACCTGCCTTGAATTTGTCCCTCGATCAGAAAGCAGTCAGGAGTAAATTGATTTATGCGGACAGGTGTATTTGGTGGCACATTACCATGAAAATCAAAAACTAATCCACGATGTCCTCATGATGTCGGGAGAAATAAGGACTCTTATGTTCTTTCTACATCCAACTACAAAACATCTGCATTGCTTACAAGACATTGTTGTTGCTACAGCTACCCTGCTGAGAAAGTGACAGACTTCGTACAACTGGCTGAGTGCGGAAATATGCTAATACAGGACAGTACGTCAGCGGTCGTGGGCGGGGCCTGATCAAAATCAAAAAGAAAATCAAAATGGCTTGATAATTGAGACTAGGTTTTTGGGGGATACAAAAGGAGTGAATGGATTTTTATCATAGTAGGGTGGTTGTGTCCACACACTACTAAGACGATACTTTGCATATGAAGATATTTTGCATCCAATGTCTCCTTTAAAATGAAAATATTATAATCTTAATTCAAGTGATGAAGGATTTCAAAAGTCTGACAGTTATCAGTGTTCAATACTACTACTAACCCTGCCTGGTTTACATGTTTGAAAATGATTAACAGTTGAAAACATTAGAAATTCAGAAATGTCATCAAATGTAATCAGTTACATTACTTTAATAAAGCAATTGAAAGTTACACTACTTATTACATTTTAAGTAGGGTTATCTGTAAGCTATTACATTTCCAATAACCTTCCCAACAATGGCTACAACAGTATATAGCCTACCTCACGTGCAGGGACTTGAGAAATATAAACAGAAATTTGGTACAGTGTATTTTCTCTATATTATATTATGTTGGAATTCGGAATTAAAGAAAATAATTTCAGATCAATTTCAGAAGAATATTCTTTCATTATAGCGATAGTGTCACTATTATTTATTATTTGCATACTGAATTGTAATTGGTCTTTATCACAGCTCTGGGTTACACGGCTTAAAAAACGAAAGACAATCTCAATCAGCTTCTTCCTCGCTCCATCTATATTTGTATACAACTAATCAAATCGCCATTTTAACATAAAGACCGCTGTTTTGTCTGCATCGCGAAAACTGGTATTTCTTTCAGGAAATACAAAACTAGTTTTTGGCTGAGAGTCACTCCCTTAACTTCACTATAAACTCCACCCTGATTTAAATACGACAGGTGTGTGCGCACAGGTGTGTGTTTGAGGTTGACTAGTTAACTGGTGGCCACCCTGCCGAGCGGACAGCACTTTTTTTTTTACTAAATCACCTTTACTTTTATATACAGTTTGCTGTAGGTGTTTCCAAAATGAATGCGACTGAATTTCAGCTGCCTCTGACTGAGTATGATTTCGAGCGTCACTTTGATGAGAGGTCTGCTATTGAATGGATGCAGGACAACTGGTAAGAACTGTAATTGATTGAATTGGAAATTAATCTGTATCAATACACCTGCCACTAGTGCTTGGAAGTCCAGCATAAAAATAATTTTTCTGGTGTTATGTTTTGTCTCTTTCAGGAAAAAGTCGTTTTTGTTTGGTGCTGTGTATGTAGTGCTGGTGTTTGGTGGGCAGCACTTCATGAAGGAAAGACAAAAGTTTGATCTACGTAGGGTGTTACTGCTGTGGTCCCTCAGTTTGGCCATCTTTAGGTAAGTAAAATCTAGTGTTCGGGTTATAGAGCATCAGGCTCACCCCTGTTTTATTTGTATGCACAAGCATTTACAACCTAAATGGGGACATTCCATAGACGACTTTGTGTTTCTATATAATTAAATATTATGACCTAACCCTGACAGAAAACTGCATTTTATAGTTGCAACCTAAAGATGCTCACAAAAGGAGTTTTTGTCAGATTTAGCCCACTTCTGGATACAAATTTGTCCTTTAAATTCTTAAATCTCAAGATGCTCCTTTGCATCTTGTGGTGTCATGGAGGTTTCACACCACCTTGTAGTTTTACTTTGCTGTTGGATATTAGGTTACATAACATATGGTTGTACCAATAGGAAACTATCTATTGTTAAATGCAAAAATGCTGTTTGAAACATGAGCATGCCAAAATGCATACCAATGACACGTTTGTGAGATTTACCACTTCATGTGGTTTTTAAATCTTCAGTGGTTGTTGTTTTAAGTTGGGTTTGGTTTCATTTGGGTGGGGGAAGGTGTCTTAGTCCCATTTCAAAAGAGGACAGAGATGACAGCAAGCACAATGTAACTTTGCATGCTTGTGAAAAGAACAATAGAATACTGTGATTGGATGGCAGCAGTGACCTCTGGTCACATGTTCTTTAGATCTCCCACAGCAACTGGACTTTCGCCACTTAGTGAATGTTTTGATATTGATTTGTTTAACACAGAAACTGCCTGGCTGCTACCATAGCAAAGTTTCTATTTGACATGCCCAACATACAAGTCTTTTTTTTTTTCTCCCCCTCCCCAGAGTTCACTAGAGCTCTGAATTGTTTATCATGAATACCATGGTTTTACAGCCGTGACGGACAATCTTCACATACAAATCTTGCTTTTTCTCTTTCAGTATCATTGGAGCGGTGAGAACTGGGTGCTTCATGTTGTACATGCTCAGAACCAGTGGTTTTAAGCAGTCTGTTTGTGATCAGAGCTTCTACTATGGGCCGATAAGCAAGTTTTGGGCTTGTGCTTTTGTGCTGAGCAAGGCCCCAGAGCTAGGTGAGCCTTTTTCTTATTCATTTATTTTGGGATAAATCACCATAAATGACCATTCTGTCATCATTTACTCACTCTCATGTTGTACCAAACCTGCATGACATTCTTTTATAGAATGGAAAAGAAGATACTTTGAATGTTATAATGAAAGTCAGTGGGGTTCAAAACAACATTGGACCTCACTGACTTCTAATGTAAGGACCAAAAAAAAAATTGACCCAATTTTGGGTGCTAAATTGAGAATTTTCGTTTTTAGGATCATTATCTCTTTAATTGTTTGTAATTTTGCCAAATATTTTTGCACTCATATTTTAACCCTTTTTACACACATCCTCACTTTTTCAGGGGACACCATGTTCATCGTCTTGCGCAAGCAGCGGCTGATCTTCCTGCACTGGTATCATCACATTACTGTGCTGGTGTACTCCTGGTATTCCTACAAAGACCAGGTCGCTGGTGGTGGCTGGTTCATGACCATGAATTACACCGTGCACGCGCTCATGTACAGCTACTACACAGCTCGAGCTGCTGGACTCCGTGTGCCGAAACCCTGTGCCATCATCATCACTTCCTCCCAGATTGCTCAGATGGTCATGGGACTGGCAGTAAGTGCGCTAGTGTACCAATGGATGCAGGATGGGGATTGCCCTTCTTACATAGATAACATAGTGTGGGCTTCACTCATGTATCTCAGCTATCTGCTCCTCTTCTCTTTTTTCTTTTATCAGTCTTACGTGAAGGGTTTAAAACCCACAAGCATCAAAACTGAGTGATATGCAGCCCTGAGGTTTGAATATGAGATTTTATTTCTGATGGTTTACCTTGGTAAAATACATATTTATTTCATGTTTTAAAGCAAGGTGAACAATGAAGATGTGTGTATATATTTTCAAACAACAGCCAGACTGTAAAAGCTATATGAAAAGAACAATAGATTAGGGCAGTTATTTGTATATTATTTTCTAGATGGTATTAGCTGAGCAAAGCGCATCAAATACAACTCTTGATTTTGCTGTTGAGAATTTAAATGATTTTGAAGAACTTGAAAACGTATGTTGTAGCGAGAGCCAAGATCCATTGTAATCTGTGCTGGTAGTCAAAGAACAAGTGATCAATTTGTCTAAAATTTCTAAAATTCATCCATTCTGAACATGCTCTTCTGGGTGTGTTTTTATTGCTGCATACTAGTTCAGTGTTTCCACCTCATGATGTCACAGAAACTTGAATTATCCGTGCTGGCTGGTTGGACAGGTTCTCAGACGTTTAAATTGCCCATTTTTGGCTGGAATTCTCTAGAAGGACGACACCCATGTTCTCGCTCTCATTCGGTTTCTGTCATGAGTTCACTGCAGCTCTCATTCACTGAAGTTACATTATATAAAACCAGCTGAGGAACGATTGATATTCTCTCATTCACCTTTGAATAACATATGGGCAGAGTCGGATTGAAATGGTTCATTCCTGGTTTTGTGGCTGTACTGGATTGGTGCTTGATAGAACAGTTAACCTTTACCTGTCCCTATATTGGTGCTACTTGAGTCATTAGTAAAATGCACAGTTGTATTTATATATTTACATAATTCATTTTTATGGTTGTGGGGATATTTATTTTTCCACTGAAATGACTATAAGGTTTCCATCTTGATCTTTTAAAAAAATGTTGTATTAGCCTATGTGATAGTAGAGAACAAACCTTTTGAGAATATTCAGTGGAATTATGCGCTCTAAATTGGTATAATCTGAAATGTTGCTGCTACCATCCAAGATTTTTGTTGTCTCTCCTGTCTGTTCCTGTGAAAGATTTTGTCTACCTTTGTGTATTTCAGTTTAAAGGATATTTTGATTTAAGAGATTTTATGACTTTGTCTTAAAGTATGTTGGAGATGGAAGCCAAATAATTACTTTGTTGTATTAACCACAAAGTTGAATGTAGTGGTACTAGCCTACATTACAAGGCATAGTATACAACTTCTGTATTTTAAAAAAGAAGAACGTAATGTAATAAAGGAGCCGAATGTAAATATTTATCTCCTGTACAAGTTCTTAGCTGATATGAAGAAATTATGATTGTGTATTTATTTTTGTCATTAAATAAAAGTGTGTCATTCTGTTAAATTTTTTTTTTCAGCTGACCGGTTTTCTGAGCTAAGCTGACATATTTTACGCATTAACACATACATACTTTTGTTGTTAACAGGAAGTTCACATATTTCCAGCTCTGTGATGGATGTAAACTTAGATGCAGTTCGGTAACATTTTCATTTCAATTGGGCCAGTAGAAGAAAGAGCTGCCCTAGTTGAATGACTCTGGAAGCCTCTTCAGAAATTATTTCATCACATTCTTTAGTCTCTGATGTTTTAATATTAAATAACATGTGACAAAAACACTCTCTGGAACTGGAAGTATTCTGGGCCCATTTTTCCACTAGCAGACAAAAATGTGGTTTGGCACTAAACAGCCGTACATTGACCCCAGTGTTCTACATGACTAGCCAGTCAGTAACTTGCCATTAGGCGACACTTCTCATCGCCCTGCTGGAATCATAGGTTAATTGACTTGCTCGAGGGTACAGCAGCGGAGATGCTGTGAAATTGAAATTTTATTAACTCTTTAGTGCCTGGTTGTTCCCTAACACACCACACACATGTATGGCCAGAAATGTTTTGTTTCTTTTGCCACCTACAGACTCACCCAGTGTGATGAGAGAACGGAGTGCTGTAGTGATGACATATTTTTGTAGACCAACCAGGACGTTAGCATTACCCTGGTTCACTTGACAGAAACCCCAGGATTTAATTGATTTTGGATTATTGCAGAAAATAAGCTCTGTGACAAACCAAAGTTTATGATTCTTGCATGTTTTGTTCATTATGACAATATACACAAATTAAAACATCTTTTGAAGACTTAATACAATCAGAACCCTTTACGAAAATTGACCATGGTTTTACTAAAAAAAAAAAAACGGTTAATTTTCATAAGGGAAGTAAATATCTAAACATAACTATAAATGACTTCACCGTCACCCCCATTATAAAAGCTTCTAATACCCAAGTATCACTGATGTAGCGATTTTATGTCAGAGTAAAACATGAAAATATCTTGAGCGCTTGTTTTCATCCACAGACCTTATTTCAGGCATTTAACCAAAAACCTTTAAAAAGCCCATTGACTTAGACGATGAAACCAGAAGTGCTAAAATGCCATCTCATTTCCAAGTTTTGGACTACAAAACACGAAATCCCTGCAGTACTCTATGGACTCAATGTAGGGTGAATTTGGGTAATCTGGGACATTTTTTTTGCAATTTTGACTTCTGCTATTTATTTCCATATCTATCTAACACATTAGATCAACACATTAGACTTTTCTGAAATCTCTAAGATGTTTTCTAACCACACCAGAAGAAAGAATGTTGATATTATACCCAGAGGAGACATCCCACACCTATTAGCGTTTTTTGTGCCAAAAAAAAAAATGTGTGCCTGAATTTGATAATCTGGGACAGGTCACTTTGTAATCTGGGACATATGTATTAGGCCTAAAAAAAAAACTATATTCACCATACTTTATGCATGCCAAACACAATATCACCAATTTTTAAAAAGCATTATTAAAAAAATGACAAGTACAGAAATCTCAATAAGGAAATTTATATTTCAATATCAGGAAAATGATTTCTTTCTGTACACAGGATGAACAATCTACTGTGTTAATTTTGATCAATTTAAAACTATTAAAATTGTTTCACATTTGTTTAACATTGTATTAATATACCTATTAGCCAATCTACTATTCCAGTGGTTCTCAAACCTCTCCATGAAGTACCCCCAGCACTGCACATTTTGTATGTCTCCCTGTATCTGAAATACCAACTTCAGGTCTTGCAGTCTCCACTAATGAGCTGATGAGTTGAATCAGGTGTAATAGATGAGGGAGACATACAAAATGTGCAGGGCTGGGGGTATTCCAGGACAGGTTTGAGAACCACTGTACTATTCTGTAATACATTTCACTGAGTTAATTAAAGGCCATGAATATTTTCATGAAATACCATCTTCAGGTCTTGCAGTCTCCACTAATGAGCTGATGAGTTGAATCAGGTGTAATAGATGAGGGAGACATACAAAATGTGCAGGGCTGGGGGTATTCCAGGACAGGTTTGAGAACCACTGTACTATTCTGTAATACATTTCACTGAGTTAATTAAAGGCCATGAATATTTTCATATTTTAGCTGACTAATGACTGTGTGTGTGTGTGTGTGTGTGGAGAGGGGGGGGGGGGGGCTTCCCTTT